GAGTGTAAAGTGTAAAGTATAAAGTGTAAAGTATGGAGTGAAGAGTGAAGAGTGAAGAGTGTCGAGTGCAAAGTGTAGTGTGTAAAGTGTGGAGTGTAAAGTGTAGAGTCTAAAGTTTAGTTTGTAAACTGTAGGGTGTCGAGTTTGGAGTGTTACAGTGTAAAGTGTAAGGTGTGGAGTGTAGAGTGTGGAGTGTCAAGTGTAGAGTTTAAAGTGTAGAGTGTGGAGTGTAAAGTGTGGAGTGTGGAGTGAGTTGTGTACAGTGTAAAGTGTAAAGTGTGGAGTGCCGAGTGTAAAGTGTAAAGTGTAGAGTGTGGAGTGCAGAGTGCAAAGTGTAAAGTGTAAAGTGTGAATTGTAAAGTGTGGAGTGTGGAGTGTGGAGTGTGGAGTGCAAAGTGTGGAGTGTGGAGTGTAAAGCGTAGTGTGTAAAGTGTAGAGTGTGGAGTGTGGAGCGTAAAGTGTAGAGTGTGGAGTGTCAAGTGTGGAGTATGGAGTGTAAAGTGTAAAGTGTAAAGTGTGCAGTGTAGAGTGTAGAGTGTAAAGTGTAGAGTGTAAAGTGTAGAGTGTGGAGTGTAAAGTGTGGAGTGTGGCGTGCAAAGTGTGCAGTGAGGAGTGAGGAGTGTAAAGTGTAACGTGTCAAGTATGGGGTGTAGAGTGAAGAGTGTAGAGTTGAAAGTGCAGAGTGTGGAGTGTAAAGTGTCGTGTGTAAAGTGTAGAGTGTAAAGTGTCGAGTGCAAAGTGTCGAGTGTGGCGTGTAAAGTGTAGAGTGTAAAGTGTCGAGTGTGGCGTGTAAAGTGTGGAGTGTAGAGTGCAAAGTGTAAAGTGTAAAGTGTGAATTGTAAAGTGTGCAGTGACGAATGAGGAGTGCAAAGTGTAAAGAGTAAAGTATGGAGCGTAGAGTAGAGTGAAGAGTGTCGAGTGTAAAGTGTCGTGTGTAAAGTGTGGAGTGTGGAGTGTCAAGTGTAGAGTGTAAAGTGTAGTGTGTAAATTGTAGAGTGTGGAGTGTGGAGTGTAAAGTGTAGAGTGTAAAGTGTCGAGTGTGGCGTGTAAAGTGTGGAGTGCAAAGTGTAAAGTGTAAAGTGTGAATTGTAAAGTGTGCAGTGACGAGTGTAAAGTGTAGAGTGTAAAGTGTAGAGTGTAAAGTGTAGACTGTGGAGTATGAAGTGTGGAGTGAAGGGTGTAGAGTGTAAAATGTAAAATGTAAAGTGTAAAGTGTAGAGTGTGAAGTGTGGAGTGTGGAGTGTGGAGCGTTTTGCTGTGTCTGTGTCTGTCTGTGTCTATGTCTGTCTCTGTATGGGAGGGAGGTTACAGTTGGTCACGCGAGGTTACGGGGAGGCATGGGCATGGGATCAACTTTCTGCCATTTAGCGGCCCTTCGGTCGGCTATTGAATTTCTCTTCTGGGATCATTGGGAAACGGCCGTTTTGGGCCAAATCCTGGCAGGAAGGTCACGGGAGCAAATTTCTGCCATTTGGCGGCCCCTCGGCCGCCGCCTGAATTTCTCTTTGGGATCATTGGGAAACGGCCGTTTTGGGCCAAATCCTGGCCGGGAGGTCACGCGCGGGCACGGGAGGTGAGGCTACGGTAGGTTACGGGCGGTTACGAAAGGGGAAAGCGGAGGAAAGTGGAGGAACGGCAGGAAAAAGGTAGGAGAAAACCGAAGACAATGCCGGAAATGTCAAGTGTAGAGTGTAGAGTGTGGAGTGTGGAGTGGAAAGTGTAGAGTGTGGAGTGTGGAGTATGGAGTATGGAGTGTGGAGCGTGGAGTGTAAAGTGTGGAGTGACATACATCTTTCACCCACCATCTTTCACACACAACTTTGTCACACACCATGTTTCACACTACTTTGTGACACACCATCTTTCACACACCACTTTGTGACACACTATCCTTCACCCACCATCTTTCACACACAACTTTGTCACAGACCATCTTTCACACACACACAGCTTTGTCACACACCATCTTTCGCACACAGCTTTGTCACACACCAGTTTGTCACACATCATCTTCGACACAAAGTGTGGAGTGAGGGGTGCACAGTGTAAAGTGTAAGGTGTGGAGTGTAGAGTGTAGAGTGCCAAGTGTAGAGTTTAAAGTATAGAGTGTGGAGTGTAAAGTGTGGGGTGTGGAGTGTCAAGTGTGCAGTGAGGAGTTAGGAGTGTAAAGTGTAAAGCATGGAGTGTAGAGAGAAGAGTGTAGAGTGTAAAGTGTAGTGCGTAAAGTGTAGAGTGTGGAGTGTGGAGTGTAAAGTGTGGAGTGTGGAGTGTAAGGTGTAAAGTGCAAAGTGTGGAGTGTAGAGTGTAAAGTGTGGAGTGTAAAGTGTAGAGTGTGGAGTGTAAAGTGTGGAGTGTGGCGTGTAAAGTGTGCAGTGAGGAGTGAGGAGTGTAAAGTGTAACGTGTCAAGTATGGAGTGCGGAGTGAAGAGTGTATAAAGTAAAGTGTAGTGTAGTGTGTAAAGTGTAGAGTGTGGAGTGTGGAGTGTGGAGTGCAAAGTGTGGAGTGTGGAGTGTAAAGTGTCGAGTGTAAAGTGTAAAGTGTCGAGTGTGGCGTGTAAAGTGTGGAGTGCAGAGTGCAAAGTGTAAAGTGTAAAGTGTGAATTGTAAAGTGTGCAGTGACGAGTGAGGAGTGTAGAGTGTAAAGTGTAGAGTGTAAAGTGTAGAGTGTAAAGTGTAGACTGTGGAGTGTGGAGCGTGGAGTGTAAAGTGTAGAGTGTAAATTGTAGAGTGTAAAGTGTAGAGTGCTGTGTGTATGTCTGTCTGTGTTTGTGTCTGTCTCTGTATGAGAGGGAGGTGACAGTTGGTTACGCGAGGTTACGGGGAGGCATGGGCATGGGAGCAACTTTCTGCCATCTAGCGGCCCTTCGGTCGGCTAAGGAATTTCTCTTCTGGGATCATTGGAAAACGGCTGTTTTGGGCCAAATCCTAGCCGGGAGGTCACGGGAGGTCAGGGGAGCAAATTTCTGCCATTTGGCGGCACTTCGATTATGGCGTACGCTACCACGACATTTCTCTGCGGAACCAAAAAGATTCTGGCTCGGGGCTGGCTTTCGTCCCCCCTTCTCAGGTTATATATATATATAATTTTATATATATATTATATCTTTCAGCACTGCACCCTACTGAGGTTCACTTGCTTGTCTTGTATGCAATTGCAGCTTCGTGTATTGCTCGGAGTTCTAACCCAGCGTGAGATCCGAGCAACCATCCGAAGGGTCATTTTTTCCCACATAAAACCAATAGTTGCTTCTGCGTGAAGGGCAAGCATGGAGTCCAAGGAAGACAACGCACGTCTTTTTTCACTCCAGGTGTACTTATATTATTATATTATACTTGTACCTGTCCTCAGGCTGCCCAAAACAGCAACACGTGGTGGCATTAGTGGACAGACTAGATTTTCTTTTGAATTGCCATGTTTGAAGGGTACTAAACATGCTTTGTTGATCTTTGTTGAAGATTGTTGAATCGAAGCAGACAAAGAAGTCACATGGTGGGAAACGGTTTGGTAGGAATATGTTACATGATTTCCATATTTTATTGTGTTCTGTAATATTACATCTTAATACTTAATACACGTCCTAATTTCCACAATATTTTCAGGATTTCCATAATATTCACAATTTTACAGATCATGAATTCTCAACACATCTAGACACAGATCTGTAACCTTGAGGTCTCTCCTGGCACATCCCACACCCCCCGAGGTCAGCCCTGCAGAGTGCGTAGACACACGGCTACATCAACTTGCAGCAGCCAAGGGCTCAAAACAGAATTGCAGATTTCATGCTGGAAGTATCGCCTTTACATCGCTTCATATCGGACATTTACAATCTATTGATAAATATACAGTATATATATATATTATTTTATGTGTTTCCTGATTTCACCTGCCGGATTGTCACGAAAGCTAGCGTCAGCTAGCTGGAGTCTTCTTGCTTTAGCAAGTATTGGGGGGCTGCTCAAGGACATCACGTGATTTTTCACGCGAAAGGGCCCCCCCCCCTCACCACCACCACCACCATCACCACCATCACCACCATCACCATCATCATCATCATCATCATCGTCATCATCATCGTCATCATCATCGTCATCGTCCTCTCCATCGTCCTCGTCCTCGTCCTCGTCCTCGTCATCGTCATCATCATCATCATCATCATCGTCGTCCTCGTCATCGTCCTCGTCATCGTCATCGTCGTCGTCATCATCATCATCATCATCATCCTCGTCATCATCATCATCATCATCATCATCATCATCATCATTCATCATTCATCATTCATCATTCATCATTCATCATTCATCATTCATCATTCATCATTCATCATCCATCATCATCATCATCATCATCGTTATTCAATTACATTTTATCATTATTGGCAATTATTGTCATTATCACGAAAGCTAGCGTCAGCTCGCTAGAGTCTTCTTGCTTTAGCACGTATTCCGGGGCTCCCCAAGGACATCACGTGATTTTTCCCGCGAAAGGGCCCCCCCCTGCCCCCTCCCCCATATATATCATATATATCATTGTTATATATCATATATCAATATATCATTGTTGCATCCTCGTTGGGACGAACAATGCCGCGACACGATGATGACAGTCCCTCCGCAACTCACCTCTTCCCTTCCTTCTTTCTCCTACCCCGCTAGCTTTCGTCATCCACCCCCGGCCTCAAGTTTGGGGATCTCTTGGGTTTAGTAAAGTAAGTATGGTTTTGTCAAGTTGCAAACGTTGAAATCATTTTGAAGGGTTGCGCTAGTTGCGCGTTGCCTGTTCAGAGATGGCAGCCCAAATTGGAATGGGATTGATTCACATGAAGAATTGAGTTCTGATTGCAGGTCCTTGCAAGGGAATATCTCACTCAACTGTTCCGCTCGCCTGATGATGATGAGCCTGCTCAGGTTTCAAAGAACCTTTTTTTGAAAACTCATAGGAATCTGGGTATTTGACTTGAAGTACACTGTACACCTGAGCGAAGCCCCAGAGCTCTCATGGCTCAAGTAATCCAACAGTTTTGCCGGATTTGGAGTCTTCTTGTTTGCTTGTTTTGCTTTCTGGACACGTCTTGTGGACCCTGCATGCAGCGTTGGGACTTCCTCTTTGGCACGTCAGTCAAGCGCAGTTTGCAGAACCTTGGAAGACCTCGCACTCAGAATGGATGGGCAACTTTGGTAGATTTTGGGTGAGCAAAAGTCAGAAGCTTTTCTGAAAATCCCAACGGACGAATTCCAGCTTGGATCGAGAGAAAGGAGTGACAGTTGCAAAATCTGGAGCCATCCTGGAGTATGTTTGCGAGGTTCTGAAGAGCAGCTGAGATATTTGTTTCATCAGATTGCTGCTGGTTGTTTTGTTTTGTTCTTTTTGTTTCATTTGGTCCCTGGATTCTTCTCAAGACAGCATCCCCTTTCTGATTTGTTCAAGTGCTGTGGCATTTGCAAGGCAATTTGCTACCATCCAAAGATGTGGATCTCCAAAAGCACTTGCAGTGCAAGCCAAAGTGAGTGCTCAAGGACCTATGCTCGGCCAAAGTAGCTTGGGAGTTTTTGGAGAAACATGGAAAAACTGTTGGTCAGAGTCACAAGTGGCGGCAAGATGTGGCAAGTGCAAAAAGCCAAATGACGAACGCATCCAGGCTGTGAAACAATAAACATCAATAAACAGACAAGGTGGACCCACATGAGGGAGTTCGATGTTTTTGCTCTGTGTAGATTGATCTGCTCGGTTTGATTTCACAGCCTCTGTAAACTTCTCGCTAAGGCATGTACTTCAACCGAATAGCAGCCACAAAGGGCGAGAAAGATGATTTTGCCATCGCCCGATTTGGAAAAGAAGCAGAGCGATGCTTGAAAATGTTGGAAGCTTTGGTCCGTTTGGTCGAATCAGCTTTCAATTGCTTTCAAGTCTTGGTTGCTTTTTGAGGAGGAAAACAGGGATGATGATGCTGTCAATTTGCCGTAGTCACACTGTGGAACCTCAACACCAACCTCCCTTAATTAATTGTTTTTTTTTAATCCTATACTGGCATTACTGCACCAGATGTTCAGTATATCATCGAAGGAAGTTTAGAAGTCAAACTTCCGACAATATGGACAGATGAAAAGCAGAGCAGGGAAGAGGCAGAGAGAAGAGAAAGATTAGAAGAAAGAAGAGTAGAAGAGAAAGAGTAAGAAGAAAGAAGATGCAGATGCGCGAAAAGGTAGGAAAGTCGCGAAACACTGTGTTTTTCCAATGATTTGGGGCTCCGGAGGGTCGAAAAGTAGGCTCGCTAAAGCGGCGGGTGCGGAGCCAGCTGGTCAGATGAGAGATGAAAAAGTGCACGCCGTTGTGGCGCGAAGCACATTTCCAAGTCAAAATGTTAAAAACACCAGGGGTTCGGACCACTTTTGGAAGTTGCGATGTCGAAAAAGTGCACGCCGTTGTGGCGCGAAGCACATTTCGAAGTCAAAATGTTAAAAACACTAGGGGTCTCGGACCACTTTTGGAAGTTGCGATGTCGAAAAAGTGCACGCCGTTGTGGCGCGAAGCACATTTCCAAGTCAAAATGTTAAAAACACTAGGGGTTCGGACCACTTTTGGACGTTGTGATGTCGAAAAAGTGCACGCCGTTGTGGCGCGAAGCACATTTCGAAGTGAAAATGTACAAAACACACCATGTTCGGACCACTTTTGGAGGTTCAGACGTCGCTTCGCGTGGCAGGCGCAAGGGATTGTGCACCTTGTCAAAAGTGAGCAAAACGTGAGGGTTTTGTAACATTTTCAACTACAACCACCACTACACCCCTACACCACACTACACTACAACTACAACTACACCTTCACTACATTCTACTACACTACACTCCACTACACTACACTGCACTCAATTACAGTCAATTACACTACACTACATTACACTACACTACACTCCACTACACTACACTACATTACACTACATGACACTACCTTCCACACACTTCACTACATTACGCTACACTACACTCCACTACACTACACTACATTACACAACTACACTCCACTACACTCCACTACACTAAATTACACTACACTACATTAAACTACATTACACTGAATGACACTGCGCCACAGATAGACAGGTAGACAGATAGACAGATAGATAGACAGACAAATAGATAGATAGATAGATGGATGGATGGATGGATGGATGGATCGATAGATAGATAGATATAGATTGACAGATAGACTGACAGATAGATAGAGAGAGAGAGAGATAGATAGGATAGATGGATGGATAGATAGATAGATAAATAGATAGATAGGTAGGTAGATAGATAGATGGATAGATTAGATAGATAGGGAGATAGATAGACAAATAACTAGAAAACTAGACAGCTAGATAGATAGGCAGGTAGATAGATAGATAGATAGATAGGGAGATAGACAGACAGACAGATAGATAGGTAGACAGATAGATCAATAGGTAGGTAGGTAGATAATCAGAGAAAGATAGAGAAAAAGAGAGAAAGAGAGAGAAAGAGAGGAGACCTCAAGCACCTTTCAGTCCATCAGTGGCTTCGCTCTGCCATCCCTGATTCACAACAACCAACCTCTCCTATAGGTTTCCTATTTTTGAAACTTCCGCCACCGCCTTGTGCGGTACTACTGGTATCAGATTGCAATACCTTTGCTCCAGCAAAACATTGTCATGGCCTACTGTGAGTTCCTGGTATTTTTTGGTGCTCTTTCCAAGGATGACCAGCTTCAACAGAGTGGCGGTCCATATTTGCTGGGCAAAAATGTCTCCATTGTGGATGTGTCTTGCTTCCCCTATGCAGCAAGCGCCTATTGGGCCTGCATCGATATTTCGGACATGCCTCAGTTGCAGGACCTTCTGCCCAGAATGTTTGATCAGTTGTCAGCATCATGTGTCCAACTAGCAAAAAAGGAACAAACCACTTGAACCTTCATTCGCTGGACCCAAGGTTTTCATTGGGAGTCCGACTACATGCATCCACAGTTCAAACCGTAGGTATCCTAAATGTCCTAAATGGTCAGATGGCTTTGCTTGGTCTTGGGTTTGGCAGTGTTCACATTGATAGGCATGGCAGAAACTGCTGCACGTCCCTTGGCTGCATTTTGTTGACTACCCTTTGGTCAAACTCCAGCATCATGGCAAACATTTGCATTTACTGACCGAGTTTGCACACCTTGCATATTTTATTATCAAAACGCATGGAAAGAAGTTCGAGTTGGGGAAATTGGATTATTATGATTATTGTGTCTTGACAACATCCTCCAGCGCCAAAGCACCACAGGAACGTCCATCCTTCAAGACTGGCTTGTCGATCCGCTTTGCTCGACCGGCTTTCTTCGGTCCACCTTGGGCTAGTGAAGAGGAGATTTAGTTGGAGCTTGGTGCCAATGCTGCACAGTTTTCAATCCCAAAGCAGTGAGGCGCCTGAGAAAATCGGTCCATGGCAACTTACTTGTACGTTGTGATTGTTGTGTTGGTTTTGAGAACTTACTGCTCTAACTGACAGTGAGGGGCTCAAAGCAGACACAAACTGCAGTCCTAGCGTTCTTGGATGACAGCTCCGTCCAATTTCACATTGATGCTCCCAAGCGGTACAGTAGCTGTTTTATTCACAGGAAAGAACCCCAGGGCCCCAGGACTCGTAGGAGCTGCCACAAAGGTGGTTCCCCCTGGCAGGAAAACGAACTCATGGATTCTACATAATTTACATTTGTGCTAAGATCCTACTTAATTTATAAGATCTTGTAGCTTATCAACATTCATGTTTCTGGCAAAGAGCAGGGACTTCATATGAGTTCATTGCTTCACCAGCTGGAGCCTCTAGTTTTAGGCAGTAGATAAGGCTGTTTCTGCTTTGGATGGGTACGGATTTGTGGCTGTTTCCTAAGATTGGCTTCTTGCTTAAGATAGAACTGAACTGAATCTCCGCAGCAACTGCCGGACCAACGTGCGCATTGTCACAATTGACGGGGCGCCCTCATCTTTGCCAGATCGTTTTGCCATGCAAAGGTAAGCTGCTTCAAAGGCGTAATTCATCCCAAAGCACCAAAGCAACTCAATGCCTTGATTTTTGGTAGGTGGTCTCAAAATCTATTCTTATCAAATTATGAGGCAAGGAAATTAAGCCACGCCGGCCCTTTTTGAACACTAGCCATGGCGTCCTTCCACGACTTGCTTCAGCAGCTTTTGAATGCTCACGTGCCTTGATTTGCAACCTTGAGAAATCTAACTGGTCTACGTTCCTTGAATCTTTCTCCGGCACTTGTTCTAGGCTTATGTAATGTTGGTTTTTCTTGCCTTTTTGCGATTCTTACGGAATAGATGAAGTCTTTTGTAATTGCTTCAAGATGACTGTCCCAACCTTAATTTCAGCCTTGAATTCGAGCTTGTACTCCTTACAAGTCTACGTCCAAATGAAGAATCAGTTCAGAAGTCAAGTATGATTCAAAAGATTGAAAACCCGTTTGCACAACATCAGTTTTTGCCTTGTAGGAAGCTGGTCCATACTGGTTGGCAACGAACACCAAGGAAGCAGACGTAAATGAGCTGCGCCAAACGGTGAAGCAGCTTCAGGAGCAGTACGGGCAACCCAGTATCCAGAAGGCTAGAGCACTGAGTCCGGAACGATTGAACCTTTCACGCGTAGTGTTTCTGAGCCTTGAGAACACCATTTGAGGACTGTGCTGATGATGCTGATGGATCGACTTTAGGACATTGTCTTGCGATGTTTAGCTATAATTCTTGGCATTCTCTATATGTTCTTTCTGCTCGAACAAGGGTGTGCCTGGAGTTGGCACAGTATTGTGATGTATTGTGGCCAATCTTATGCCAATCTTATCAAAATGGATCAAAATGGGACGTGCTTTCCACGTCGAAAAAGACTCCATAGACAACCAGGCAGATGGATGTTCGGTCGTAATGTGTCAGAATTCAGGTGTACAGGGAACTTACTTTCCCGAATTCCCGCAATGTAAAGCAATGCAGTGGTTTTATCATGGAACTATATGGAACTTATGAATTACTTATGGTCTATATGGATTCTATATGGATTCTATATGGATTCTATATGGATTCTATATGGAACTCATTGGAACTCCTAGGCTGGAGAGCTATGACAGCTATGACAGCTATGATCTGCGTGACAGAAATGAAGAGGCGTCCCTGGTGCGGAGCTCAGCATCTCGCAGGGATCCAGAGCTGGGAGCTGATCACATATTTGTTCAGCATTCTTTCAGCATTTGCTAATCACATTGTTCTTCAAAGAAATGGTGTTACTGTTACCTTCGAACATAAAGGACAGCTGAGCTTCTTTGAGAGGAGTACTAGATCTTTAAAGGATACACTGCATATTCTGAAACAATCTTGTTTCTGTTGTTGAACAAGGTTGCAGCTTTAGGTTAAGTATTCAATCTTTGAAGAAAACAGCATTTGTTGGAGGGAATGTTACCATGATAAAGAAAGAAAACTGGAATGCCACACTTTAAAACACAATAAATACACTTTGTAGATGACTATTTTTTCAAAAAAGGGTTCCAACCTTCATAAGGATATTTCTTCCTGAAAAAAAACTGTGCTAGCTCGAATGCAACCGCCAGCTTATAAATGAAAACACATTGTTTTGGTTGAAGGGGATGCTGCATATTTGCAATGAAGACGACACTTTTACAAATCTCATTTCTTCAAAGCATTGTTTGCTTGAATGTAGCACAGGTACAAACTTAATAAACTACATAACCCTCTTTGGGGAGTGAGCAAAAAACACTTTCATGTGCAAAATGGATTGCTTCATGACAATGGTCGATATAGGTCTCAAAATATAGCCAAATCCAAGAAGAAAACACAAGCAGAATGCTTCGACAGACAATGCAAGATTGCAGTGGAGAAGTTCAAGTCATGTACAGTAGTTCCCAGGCAGAATATGTATCATGTTTTTCTGTGAACTAGAAATATATTGTTTGAAGATGTTTGAAGTCTGGGAAGACACTATTCTAGTGTTTCCATGTGATTGTGCTGCAGTACTACATCCCAATGAAAGAAGTGAAACATGTTTTGAACAACATAACCCTAATTCACCCTAATTCTTCTACAAAGGCTACTTTACTTTGAAGGGAAGGCAACCTCGGAGTCCTAGGATGTGGCGTAACCAGGTGGAACTGCAAGAAAACAAGAGTTAAGCTGTACCATACTTGTGTGGTAGTGTGTGAATCACACAAAATGCTGGACAATAAAATATAAGTTTTGTTTCTACTGCAAATACCACAAAAAAATGCTCAAGGTAGGCCCTGGTGGGGGTTGACCATGTATATTTGTATATATATACATATATTATATATATATGTATCAAAGTACATCACCACTAAAGGCGTGACATCCAACGAGCCAGGACATGGAGCAGCAGAGTTTGGAGTCAAGACTCGTCCCTGAAGCGTAGCTCGGCCCTGGGAATGGCCCAGGCGGAATGGGAAACGGAACGTATATTTGCTGTGTATTTCAGCTGCAACAAAACAGAATGTAACGATCATGCAATGGTAATGTTACGCGCAAACACCCGGATTCGCCCACACCCATTCTATGCTGCACACTTGGGGATATCAAACGTTAGACTTTACATTCAATTGGGAAGATCAACAAGGGTATTTAGGTAATATAAATTTCCCACCTCCGTTTAACTTTACATTCATTAAGGGTTTAATTCTCCCACCCCCGTTAAACTTCTACATTCATTGAAGATCTTCAAAGGGTTTAAATCTACTCTTCCACCCACGTTAAACTTCTACATTCATTGAAGATCTTCAATAAGGGTTTAATTCTCCCACCCCCGTTAAACTTCTACATTCATTGAAGATCTTCAATTAGGGTTTGATGATGATGATGATGATGCTGATGCTGATGTGTAAGAGACTCGCACAGGTCCCTATGCTGTGCGTGCCGATATACAACATGAAGTTAGCCATGATGCAAAAAACTCCCATTTTTATCACGTTTTCAGCACATACGAAGATGGCCGCCGACAAGCGCGGGCAAATCGAGGTGTTTGCCCGTAATGTTATAGTTCTGATAGATGCTTTGAATTGTTTTAAGGTGTTTTTCCCGAGAGCGCCTGCGAAGGGTTCTTCGTAAAAAAGCAGCCGTTATACTACATCTTCACACCTTCACACCTGCAGATCTAGATCTTCACACCTTCTAGATCTTCACACCTTCACACCTGCAGATCTAGACTTCACACCCTCACACCTGCAGATCTAGATCTTCACACCTTCACACCTGCAGATCTAGATCTTCACACCTTCACACCTGCAGATCTAGATCTTCACACCCTCACATCTGCAGATCTAGATCTTCACACCCTCACACCTGCTGATCTACATCTTCACATCACACCTGCAGAGTACACTTCACACCTTCACACCTGCAGATCTAGATCTTCACACCTTCACACCTGCAGATCTAGATCTTCACACTCTCACATCTGCCGATCTACATCTTCACACCTTCACACTGCTGATCTACATCTTCACACCTTCATACCTGCAGATCTAGATCTTCGCACCTTCACACCTGCAGATCTAGATCTTCACACCTTCACACCTGCATATCTAGATCTTCACACCCTCACATCTGCAGATCTAGATCTTCACACCCTCACATCTGCAGATCTAGATCTTCACACCCTCACATCTGCAGATCTAGATCTTCACACCTTCACACCTGCAGATCTAGATCTTCACACCCTCACATCTGCAGATCTAGATCTTCACACCCTCACATCTGCAGATCTACATCTTCACACCTCACACCTGCAGATCTACATCTTCACACCCTCACATCTGCTGATCTACATCTTCACCCCTCACATCTGCAGATCTACATCTTCACACCCTCACATCTGCAGATCTACATCATCACACCCTCACACCTGCAGATCTAGATCTTCACACCCTCACACCTGCAGATCTAGATCTTCACACCTTCACATCTGCAGATCTCTTCTCGCTCTTCTTCTATTCTCTCTTAAGGCGGGGGCGGTGCCGCCGGAGCGCCACGAAACGCAACCCTTTCGCACGAAATGGACGTTGGACGTCCAAAACCTAGGTAAAATTGCGATTTTGAAGCGTCCCGCGCAACCGTTTCGCACGAAATGGACGTTGGACGTCAAAAACTGAGGAAAAATTGCAACTTTTATTGGTCGCGCGCAACCCTTTCGCACGAAATGGACGACGTCAAAAACTGAGGAAAAGTTCCGATTTAACTTAGTCCATCGCAACCCTTTCGCACAAAATGGACGTTGGACGTCAAAAACTGAGGTAAAATTGGCGATTTAACTTAGTCCATCGCAACCCTTTCGCACAAAATGGACGTTGGACGTCAAAAACTGATTTAAAATTGCGATTTAACTTGGTCCATCGCAACCCTTTCGCGCGAAATGGACGTT